ACACACACACACACACACACACACACACACACACACACACACACACACAAAGATGGCACAATCACTTACCCGTTATGCTCCGCCTCCATTGAGCTGAAACTCCACCGTCATCAGTAATTCGGTAATCATTCAGCAGTTTGCTGAACCCCGTGGTAGTGGTCGGATCGCTGAACCACAAATTGTTCGTGAATAGCACATTGAAATCGAACGTGATTGTGATTTTCAACGTGTAGGTGGTGGACAAGAAGGCTTCTGATGCCGATTTAACATTGTACTTCAGCACACCTTCACGGATAGAGTAACTTTCGAAGAAGCTGTATAACTGTTCAAACAGGCGGTGGCGAGAGGGCGTGAAAGAGAGGATTAGGGATAAACCAAAATCAATGCTAAATTAAAGTAGATTGACAGATTTCATTACATGAGTTTGTTGCCGGTGCCTGGTGAACTGATGGATTACAATCGAAATTAACTTTATCCCTTTGTGAGTTGACGGTTGACTAACAGACAGACAGGGGGACAGATAGACAAACAGACTGACTGACTGACCGACTGAATGATTGGATGAAGATAGTAGTTGTATGAATAGGGGTTGTGCTTAGTAAGAATAGATTCCACCCAGAACATATACTCACCATAGATTTTGTCCATGTAATTAAAAATTTATCATTTCGTTGTATTGAGGAGACGCCGTCCAAAACCACCTCGAACTCATAAACTTGATGTTCCGATCAAATTGGACCGGATGTTTGAGGGAGGAAAAAGCATGAAATGTGAGAGACGATTACTTTGAATAAAGTACCTATTAGAGATGAGAATTGTGTAAAGGATACGGAGGGGGGGGGAGCATTTCATTCTTATGTGTAGTGGCAACATGAATAAATATACATTTATTGATTAGTCGTTACTTGATCAGATTTCTAAAATCAACCTCTATTTCCGAATGTATACTAACTACACCTTCATATAAATCGAAATCAATCAATCAATCAATCAGTCAGTTAATCGGTTGATTAACTAACAGATCAATCAATCGATCAGTCGGAATAGTAGGAAACCTCCCTCATCGATTTTCTGTGGTTAATTTTGGTGGTGTTACTTTTTCATTTTGATTAACAGAATGTGCATTGACGTATCTTTAATTTTTTGAATGGGAATCAATAAGGACTTACTTTGCACGGATTTTAATTCGATTTCTGATATTTTGTTTCCACAAAGTAATTGGAAAAGCAGAAACAATGGATAAATTGTTGGATGAATATCCGTATAAAAAAACAGTACAATAGGACAAGTGGCAAAACACCATGATGAGGCCAACGTAATGACTGTAGTAATAGTAGTAGTAATGCGCACTGAACTCGAAGTACAAACTACGCAATATGAATCACGGTACACGAATCAAAGAGCAGCTATCACGGACTGGATCACGGAAGCACTGGACCACAATGGCACTAGCACGCAATATTCCATGTGACTGAGGCGCGAGGAAAAGGCCACAGGAATGGTAGTTCGCTTATTAGAATAAATGAGGGCAAATAAATAATACAGTACTGGTCGATTGTGGTGCACTGAAATTTTTTCTCTATGATCAAATGGAGTTTCATTATATTTATTACTTTTTTTGATGCTTTATGTATGGAAAATAATTTATATCTTGTCTTTATATCTTGAATCAGGAAAATCAATGCTATAAAGACTCACCAAAGCCTGTTTATTATTATTTGGAAAAAAGTTTACTCTAGTATAAATACTGTTGCCTATACGAACACACAAGTGTTTCACAGGGACCTGTTGCTTCAGTTTCGATTAGACCTGTATGTACATAAGATCATTGGTTATCCAGGGTTCCACCAATCGCATTCCAGTATTGCTTGCGTTATTCTGCTTCTATCTGAACTGCACTGTCTCGGATTGGCTGGCACGATCTGCCTTTGGTGTGTAGTCAGAAGCAGTGACACGCATGCGCGTCATTGACGTCACCTTTGAAATTTGATTGATCACAGGTCTCCAAAAACTGTAACACGCCGCTCTAGGGTAGGCGTTATCTCGTAGGCCTGGATCACCACAGTTTCATTCCCAAAGATACCGTTTTATTTTCCCCCCTCTCTGTCCACCTATCTTCTTTTCCCTTTTCCTCCTTCTCTCTGCGCTCTTTTACTCTTTATCTTACCTTCTTTTATTGAATAAACCATTTTAGAGTCAATCAATTAACCGAAAGAGAGAGGAGAGATCAATCATGTGATGCAACAGAATGAACTAATAAGCCACAGCAACGGTAGTGGGACTCGAACACACTTTTACTCTTGAGTCGATGAGATGGTAACCTACATTCCAGTGATCCCCACCACCCATCCATTTTGTGTTGACATCTTCGTGCATTTCACGTCACCTTTTTTTCTACATTTTCCCTCAATTCTATTCGGCTTAGGCGTGATCAAATCAGCCAGGACGTGTGTGCGCGAGCCATATTGTTTAACGTCGATCCGATTATCCTGGGTTGCGAAAAGAAACTGCGTGGCGATCGAAGTATCCTACAGGAATTTCACAAGAACAAGCACAAATAAACCACAAGCAGCCTCTGTGGGAGCGGACTTCATTTGATTACATTGATGAGGTTCGTTGTGTACAAAGCAAACAAACTAAGGACTGAAAAAATAGAAAGCACTACTGTAGGGCTGTTTTGATTGCGCTTGGTGTCAGCAGGAGCAACAGCAGCGGCAGTTGGAGCTCTCGAACTCCGGACCTAACAGGTAGAAAACAAGCACTCTACCCACTTGACCCAGAGGGCCAGGACTAAGTTGAGCGAGATGAGATAGTCTTGGTCATCTAGCAAGGATTGATTGGGTTATATCGTGTTCCGGCAAAGTGATAGCCCAAGATTCGATCCGTTCCACCGGCTGGATGAATTCGAACTGTGGATTAGATCTAACACGGTAAAACCTGTGATACAGTTAGTACAACAACATATGCCTTAGTTTGAATCTGTGAATCAGGTGAAGTTCATCGGCGTTAGCTTACCCAGCAGCCTGGTGGCGTTAAACGAAATTTCGGCCGAATTCATATTCTCAGCCAACCAATGATTGAAAGTGGGGATCACATTGTCGGACAAATACGTGTACCAGGCTAACCGAGTTTTGTCACTTTTGCAGTCCCCTTGTATCAGATTCAGCTGAACAATATCCGAGATCGATTGCACCATCTCGGAATGAGGTATGTCGATACAAAGTAGGACATCGCGATTCAGAACTGGGTCGAATTGTGACAAAAATTCCATAAACTGTGAGTTCATGTGGATCGGGGATCGGGGTGGGGTGCAAAAAAGAGAATAGTAGGAGAGAACAAAGTAACGAACGAGCAAAATGGCTGTATTTGAATGTGGGGAATAGATTATCGTTTGACTCGTGTGAGTACGTTGGATGTCATCTGAATGACCTTGAGAGAATAAGGACGAACCAAATCATGTGACCCTCGAATACTGGGATCTATCTGAAAACTCCCCATTTCTATGGTCGTTTGGATAAATTAGACGCGTTCAACCCGGACGAACTATTGAAAGAGGAAGACCAATTTTTCACCGGTTGAATAAACAACCAACAGAAGGGCATTCCATAGATGTTAGAATTGGGAAATCCTTAGTTTTCTTTCTGAGGCCCTGGAACCAGTCACTAAACGCCCCATGTGCACACAGATTGTGACCAACCGTACATATGTTGAGTGAATGGGCTCGATACGAAACCGGAGCATTCGTTTCAAGGATTTGTTCACCTACGTCAAGAAATGTAAAAAATGAAAGCAAATGTTTAGACGGCGAATATCCGAAGCCATTCGTCTTCGGTAAACTGGGAAAACAACCTCGAAGACAATCACAGACAATAGTGAACAGAAGCAAGCACTTTGCAAGACTTTCTTCTCTCTCCCCTCAAAAGAAAACAGAATTTGTGAAGTACTGAGGTAAAATACAGAAAAGACAACCGTTTCCACTTTTCCTGATGGTACGCTGCATGCACAAATCTCAGACTATTGGATGATATACGTAGACCTTACAAATGCCTCCTAAAGCCTCATTATGGTCGGAGTGGTTGTCATTGGTTGTGGCTGGTCACCCCTCCTTTTCACCTTGCAAAATGCTCCTACACGACCAAGCGTCTCAAATAGTTTCTGCTGTGGAAGCCCTACTCACTGCCTTCTCGTGGCGGAGGTGTTTTCCCACCAAAGTAAGAGGACGGAAATCCAACATCCGGAGCTATAACCGGGTCGATTAACCATTGAAATTTCGCCTAGGGGAGTTGGTTAAAAAATCTGATTCCAAACCAACGACGAAGAGACGTAGGAACTATGCATACACCTTCCTGGTCTTGGTTGCAGTCACCGGCTCCATTGGGTATCGAGATGTATTGTACACTTTGGCCATTTGACCCTGCCCAAAGGGCGTATGGTCCGATAAACTGGAGACTGACCCCCAATGAATTGAGGTTTTCACACACTATCATGCTGCTTTACGGAACAGGCTTTTGCTGAAAGAAGGATCCGATTTTGAATTTCCCAAGAAAATTAAACTGCCTTGGCCTGATAAAGCTGGCAATATTTCACCCATATGCAAACCATGGAAGTATTTTCTTTTTATAAAGATTATTGTACCGTGATTTATTTGGTTTGAAATCAGACGTGTGTGAAACACGAAATACAACATATTACAGATAAAATATCTGTTCTCTGCTAATCTGAGATCTTCGTCAACCCTTTCATGCGTGAGAGGAGGAAAAACAAGCGAGCGGTTATTGTGACGAATCACAGAGCGCGAACCACTGTGATTATACGCTGGAACAAGGAAAACCATTTTATTAAATGTAGTGGTTGTGCTTATTGCAGATTCCGGATATACGCTGATAGAATACCGACAACCCAACAGAAGATCTTCATCAGCCTCATTTTGTGCAGAAAGTGGAAACCTGTCTGCTTAAACCATCTCTTCTATTCCGCGAAAGCAATTCGAAACTCGTTAGTCACCGGAAAACACCAAGGCAGTTTGTATTACTGCGTAGTGCAGAGTGGAAATGGAACAGCTTAAGTGTATTCAAAATCAGAAAAAACCAACCACATCTAACAAGTAGGTAGTCAAACCGAAACACAAGCTTGTGTTTATTTGCTTAATCTCAATGACATTGGTTATCATGTAGAGAACGAGCGGACTGAGGTTTTCCTCATACAATATCAAGTAATTTTAATCTATTAAACCGTTTTAATCAACTTACAACTTTACACACCAGGTTCTCCTGGCCCAGTAAATGCCTGTTCTCATATTCTTCATCCACAACCATGTTTTCCAAGCGCAACTTTACGGCTGAAATGGAAATGATATAAAGAGTGTCCCGGACAAAAAGGCTAGAAAAACAGTTTTTTTGCACTCCACGAGATTATAAACTTAACTATAACAAGTTAGCTGTGGTGTGTACTGTTTTCGCTTTCTAACCTTATCCTACACAACTGATGATCATGCATACAGCCTGCACTGGGCTGCGAAAAGTTACGTGACGCCTCGCTCTCCTTTAGAAAGTTCAGCCCGTAGGTTTATCGACTCAGGCCATCGGAAACTGTTTTGCCACGTGTACTGATTGGTTCACTCGCACGAGATGCTTTGAGTTCCAGACGCGGTGTTTGACGCTGATCAGGTGCAAACAGGATATGGGCTAAGTCATGCTGCAATTTCGGTTAGTTTATTGTCATCCATTAAACTACTGATATGAATTCAGTAGACAACTAGTTTTGCACGAATTTATTCCTGAATTTGATCGAGCTAATTAGGATATGTTTTGTGTACATTTTAGAGCTTGTCAGGTCGAAAAACTTCAAGAGAAACGCTGTTTATGCTCGAGGCCTGAAACGCAGAATGTTCGCTTCAGTTCCCATTCCATGCACCCAAAAATTATTACGCTTCTGAGGGTGGAGATCAGTCAATTTCCGACTTTCTAGTCTCCTGATGGGAGTTTCGAGCTGAGCTATAATCTGAATCCCTCAATTCTGGTAGATCAATAAAAGATTCAGGTAAAAACCCTCAGATAGTTTCATCTTTCTCTGGCGTGAAGTTTCTTGAAATCGATCGCTTATCATTGGGAAACCTTAACAACGGACAAGAACAATGTAAATAATAACTATCAATTTAGTTTATTTATTTTTATGAAATATATAGAAAAAAATAGTCGGCCATATGATTTAATCTACCCGTCCTGCGTCCCACTTCTTTAGGTCATGTGATCCCTCCTCATATAACGTTCATGTGAGAGCTTCATGCCAGTGCTATGTTACTCCAAGCCAAACTAAATGGTTGTCAACTGTGTGACAGAACAATTAGAAGACAAAGATCGACAATGACACCTTGGACGAGTGCAAATTATACGTTCCACTTATCTCCGACGTCTTCAGGATAATCGAAAAGCTTCGTCCACACCCGAATCATGAAACATTTATGAGAAGGGAACCGCTAATAAATAGTTCTAACTTTCTAACCTCACCCAGTATTTTTCATGTGACCGCAATTATTTACCTTTCTTATTGGGTTCTACCGTATTTCTCCACTCCACTCCACTCCACTCCACTCCACTCCACTCCACTCCACTCCACTCCACTCCACTCCATTCCACTCCACTCCACTCCACTCCACTCCACTCCACTTCAATTCACTTCACTCCACTCCAAGCCACCCCAATCACCGGAAACATTAATTTATCGTTGACAAGTATATCCCGCAACCTGATAATTCACTGTAGTCACTCAGGTTGAGAAAGATATCGGTTTCATGCAGTTAGCACACGTTCACGGTGGTCGATTCGTGCATTGTTGGCACTC